TTTTGAAGGCAATTAAAAGCCAAGAATATCACCATTTATAATGTCCTGCAATTCTTCTGACATTCCTACAACTGCTTGTTTCCCAACTCGGACCCACCCTGACTTGCTTTTTTTCTTTCTTGGTCCTTTGATTAATTCGATTAATTCCATTAATTCGACTTGAAGAGGTTCGACTCTTGTCGAATTTTCCCGAGAAACTCTTATACTCTAATACGGAAATTTGAAAACTTGTGAATTATCCCTTTCGCGTTCGCTCTGTGTGCTTGTCGCAGCCGCCGGTGTTGACGCAACACTTGATCGCGCATGCGAGTTGCTGCTGCGACCCGGGTTGAAGTGCGTCGGTCGGGTTGCGCCCCCCACATCAGCGGTGAACTCTCTCCTCTGGCGTGTCAAAAGGAAAGGGGAAAAAAATAAAGAATCCAAAGATAAAGGTTATTTTCTTCGCCGATTTCCCGCGACGATCAAGTAGAAATGATAGCTGGGTTCCAAGCCGTTGGTCGTCGGTGGGAACGACGCTTGAAGACGGAGTCATTGGCCGAAGTTGATTACGTGTGAAGTGTCGAGTTTTTCCCTGTGTCCGTGTCTTTTGGACACGAGTGATGCATTTTGATCAAGCAGTCGAGTCGACCGGAAATTTCAAGTTGCGAATGGTTTCCTTTCTCGTCGTGTTCTCGTGAAATTTTGAAAATACTTGTACAATAGTTTGAAACGTGGTGTTCGAGTTGAAAAACTTCCAACTGGAATTGTCGTGTTACTGTTGCCGCGCCTGTTTTTATGTGCCAGCAAAGATTGTTAATAGTTTACCGAAGTAGCAAACGCAGTTGGATTTCGTTCATGACGACTTTCAGGGGATCGATAAATTAGTCATTTTACGGAGAAAATATTGTTCGCTTTGTCTCTCAAAAACCGCAATTTTTTTTAGTTTACCAGGGTATATTATACAGCAAGAGCCAAGTTGTCCATATTTCAATTCCTTGGAATTCTATTAATATTGTCTCGGAACGAAGTACATTGCCGGAGTTGATGTGAGTGGTACTGGCATACATAAATTACGATTTTTCTTGGAATGCCTGTTTCTCTGACCCTGAGTCCAGTATGGTTGTGTAGTCTTGCGTTTTCTTGTTCAGATATGGAAGTCATCAGATCTTCAGAAAAAATATACAGTACTTATTTTAAAGTTTTTTTTAATCATCCGTAAGAAGGCATTCGATAATTAGCTCTGATAATGCAGTTTATATTGACACGCCTCAGAGCTCGAATCACTCAGTAAGACACGATTTTTCCGCGTAGTTCATCATGGAATACGGGGTTTTTAATTGTAGAAAAGCCGGAGTGTTCATGAACGGATTATGATTTATTTATTAACCTGCCCTTGGTCATAGTTCAGTGAGACCCCCACATTTGGACACTTCGACATGCAGACAATTCAACGTAGGGACACTTATTTTCCCCCAAAAAATTAATAAAAAGGCCAAACGTGAGGACACTGACTCAACATAGGGACATTTAGTGATAAAATTGCAAATAAGTTTCAGGCCAAATTACAAGAAACAGATACTGTATTTCCAACCCTCGAAGTTCTTGGGCATTTCTCTCACCAATTTACCAACCATCTAGCTAACTTAAAAAAATATCCTCCAGCATAGAGGGACTTATTTTTCTCTTCTTCACTTCGATGTTGATTTTACAGAGAATGCCAACATTTATATGTACTGTAATTACTGTAAAGGTGTATCAGTACAATATTCAATTCCCAAATTGTCCATATTGTGTTGAAATATATTGGTTGAACCAGTTTCAATTGGGAAACAATTTTTATTTTCATGGAATTATGGTGAGTATTTTGTCCATAAAACACCAATTAAAAATTATATAATGTAGGTCTAAGGGAAAATGAGACTCGTCTTAGGGACTCTCTTCATGCAACAATTATGTCCACATCTCGAGGTCTCACTGTATCTCTAAATTCATTGTTTTTGTAGCTTTTCTGAAAGCGCTCAATTGGATTTTCTTTTTCTTCCCGTCCGGTAACATTCTTGTCTTCAATATATGCGTATTGATATATTCAATATTCAATATTTGCGTATTGTACCGTGGTACAATTCTTATCTAAACGCCTTCCACAGTTTACCATAATTCCGTTCGGAAGTAGCATGGCGTGCAGACAAGTATCAAATTTTATTGCGACGTCGAGCTGATTCTCACGTGATGAGCGGTATGTGGTATCCAGTACCTCGTATCAGTTCGGCATCCCAGTGGCTGCGTGTGGCCTAAATATATGATTGGTGCCGATTAGTTTACAGGGAATCAGACGGATTCCGGAAAGGGCGTTGAAACATGGTTTGTGTTTGGGATTCAGTAAAATTCGCGTTTTGGCGAATCCAGGCAAAATTTAAAGCGTTGTTATTCCCTTTTCCCCGCAATTTTATGTTTCTGATAATCCAGCTTTACCTTTCCTTCAGGATCACTCTCATTCGCGAGCATATTTCGTGTGAGCGTTTTCCATAAATAATATCCACACTGTAAATACATTGTTCGAATTATTTTAGGTCACCCTAATGCGAAATTTGTGTACAGTGGACCCTTGGTTAACAAACCCCTCAGTTAACAAACTTTTTTCCTGAAAAAATTCCTTGGTTAACAACAAAAATGGTCAATAAACTTCCGCTCTCAAAATATGCATGCTCTACATGCAGATTTGTGTTTTTTACGATTCAGCTTATTGTAAAAATAAAAGGTTTCTTGAAATGAAATAAAATTCAACGCGTTGTTGGTACAGTAATACAGTCTTTGTTGTACCAGGATCTTAAAATATCGTCTGAAAAACATTCTTCGAATTTTTCCATCAAGCGCTGATGATATGCGTAAGGTCGTTAATATAACGCATAAGTAAGTTAACAGATTCAGCCCCGATTCGAGAGACAAGTGTTTTCTATGCTGATTTTATGCTGACAATTACCGCAATAATCCAAAATCGATGTTGAACTTTTAAGAAGTATTCTCAAGAGTACGAAATGAAGCGGAAGCGAGCATAGCTTTCCGAATTTGTTGATATGCTCGCGTTAAACTAAGCTGTCACTTCGGTGTTTTCAGGTCAAATTACCGGTCTTCAATTATACCGGATGATACTTTTTTTCTTTAATGATCCGCCGTGTGATTAGATGCACAAAATTTTAAAGCCCGCTTATATGAGAAGGGGGAAAAGTTCGAAGCCCTGAAATCAATGGTAATACTTGTGCATGTGCATATATACAATATTCGAGATTCCTTTGAACCCAAGATGTTGTTCCCTTTGAACTTTTAAGATTGCATTTTATATCCAGAAAGGTTAGTAACCCGTCTCGGCGTTTATTTTTGGTTTTGTATTTCGCGAGATAGAAGAACGCTGCGGCGGGATATTATGCAGATATTTCTTCCCCCGACGCGTGAAAAGAAAAAAAAACTGCGGTGTTACCCTCGCCTCTGTGGTTACGAATCGATTTTACCATAAAACTGCCCACGCATTTCGTAATATGCAGTATTCTGAATAGCACTCGGTTGCTTGCCTGCTCCATGTGTTGACGCTCAGTGTAATTCTGGGGCGGGGCCGAGTGGCAATGCTACTTTCAGAAGGGAATGTATGTCTGCGTGTGTGATAAGGAGGCATGCGTGCATTGTGTCGCCAGGGGTTCTTTGCTACATTCGAATGCGTGAATCTAATCCCGGTCATCTTGGAAGTGTATAAGAAAGATAGGAATCAAGTCTCTCTTCGCGCGGAGAAAACCGTGATAATTATTTCCTGTCCGAGAGAACGCGTGATACTGGTTACGCATTCCGAAGATTCTTGTCTGCAGCGATATTCTGGAGGCAGCTAATTTTTGTAGCCCCCTTGAACCTTGTTGAATTGGGAAAAAAAATTGTACGATTTTTTTAGTACAGTAAATCGAACATTTTTTGCCTCCATGGGTATCGTTATCGAGAGTATGTCTGCATCTTCAAGTGAATGTGTCATGGTTCAGTCTTCGAAAATGTCGGTTCAGTCTGGCTAAAATTTTTCGTTGGTGCTAGATTCTGAACAGGATTTTCTCCCGAACTTCGAAACTTTGCTCGGTAGTTCGTTCAATTCATCGTGGAGAAGTGTGATGGAGTACTTTCAGTCGTGCTCATCTGACTTTTGAGGTAGTTTTTCCTATGCGGCGTGGTTTTAATCATTTCTCTCTCAAACTTCACTCTATTTGAATTCGGGGAAATTCACCCATCATGTCCCCGAGATGGTTTGCTATAAGGATTTTCATGAATAATTTCGAACTCCTGAGAAATTCTCCGAATCAAACGAGGTGCATATGGTTGAAATTACTGTACTGCCCTCGTATGAGTCGTATCTGACAATTAACCCATAAGGTTTCTATTTTAATCACACGAGGTACCTCGGTTGCGCAAGCATGAATTACTTCATAAATGGCAAATGTCATTGCGTGGAAATTTCACGTTATGGTTACGGCATTCCATTCGGTATTCGCTTCGCGTCGATCAGCTCATGAAATCACGGAATCGCTATCCGAGTGCGGAAATATTTTATTTCCCATTTATTCGACGTCATCAGCGCTTGAGATATTAAATTTAATATCATCGGAGAATTTATTCGACGGCAAATTGCAGCTAAAATTATTGGGCCAGATCATTCAAAGCTTCTGTGTTCCTTCGTAAGTTTAATCCAGATTGCGATGTGTCTGCTGATAAAACTGATGCCCTCCTCATTTCCACGCGGGAACGATGTTTACGAGTTCATTAAATGTCTCGGCACGTGTTTGATCTTCACGAGTGGCAGGTTAACGAAATCCGTTTGAAGGGCTTGATCGAAAACTATGCTGATGGGTTCTTGCCCGCGTTCGGGGGGTTATATCCAGTGGTGGTAGGAACGCTAAGCTAAGCTAAGCTACGCAGGCGGACCGGGAAAACCCCAATCGTCAGCTGGGATGCTCGTCTGTGTACCCCCACAAGGGAATGAAAGCCGGCAATGTATGAGGGGTACGAGAGAGAGAGAGAGAATCGTGCAACACCGTCGACTCACTGGCTGGGCCTTCCTTGCTGTAGTTGTGAAGTCTGGAGAGGGGGCTGGTGGTCGTGGGGGTGCTCATCTCGACGTTGGGGAGACGGGGGGCTGGTAGTGGGGGATCGATATTGTGCAGGCGAGGATTCTTTGCTGGCTGTTCTGACGGTCGCAGTCACTTGTAGACTGCAGGGGTCTGTGCCAGCGTGTAAGAGCCTTCGTCGTGTGTTCCCCCTTTTTTGTTTTGAATGAGCGTAGTAATACTTTTTTTTTTCAACCGGGTGGAATTCCGTTTCAAGCTTTCAACCCTTGAAAGTATGACAACATTTTCCAAGTCTTTAAATAATTCAAGTTCTTTTAATTGCATTGCAGAGGCTTTCGTTACGAAATTTGCAGTGTAATTCATTTTGAACCGTTATTTTTGTACTGTACCTGTTTTTTTTTTTTTTTCAGTCATTTTCGCCGCATAAATTAAGAGTAGTTATTTTCATACGAATTCGCGCGCTATTTTGCTGAGTTGAAATTTTGTTTTCGGGAAGGTCTCATGAAGTCATGATCTCATAATTGTGCGTGGTATTTGCTGACTGAGAACTTCGTGCGAGACCCTTGGTCTTTTGAGAAACCGCATCGCTTCAAGGACCGATGTGATGTTCGTTGCCTTTTATAAGAAAGAAAAAAATTCTAATGGATTATTTATGAAGGTGGTGTCAATCGCTGTATTGATTCGAGCGGACGATTGAAATGAAAGAATAGTAGCAAATTTAAAATATCCTCTTGGGATGAATGGTTGTGTTCCGTGGGAACGAAGGCGACTGAATCTTTCCTTGTCGTCGCCCTTCGAGTGAGCGTTCAAATTTTCGCGATGTTTTTTCGGGAGAATTTCATGGTCCATTCGCCTCCGTCTCTGTTCTAGAAATAAAACCTTGGTGTTGATACTATCGAGCACCACCTTGGAATAGTCTTCTGAGCGCAGGTGGTGATCTCATTTTTTTCCCCGTCGATATCCGTGAACCTTGAAGCTGAGAGAGGATCGTTTTGAAAAGTAATTTGCTTCTAGAATGCCGTGGAATTTATATTTGTTTGCCTACGAAGATGAATAGCTGTATACGCAAAGAGGTTTCATCTTTAATTTCGTATTTCGTTTGGTTACTGTGAAAAAGTTTTTTTTCTCGGTCAGAACTGTCCTAACCGTAAGTTTCCTTGCTTTCAATTTTCATCCGCCCATGAATATTCAATTCCTTGATTATAATACGGAAGCCCTAATGAATCCGCTTTTCAAAAAGGGAATCCATCTCCTACCTCTGATTTTAGAATATTTCGGAAGCCCCTCAAGGAATTAGCGAAATTCATCGAGGTCATTAAAATTGTTGTTTCAGTTTATCCTAGGTTTATATATGCCTTCCTTGATAATCGATTCAAGAAACGACCGCGGAGATGCTTCTGAAAGTCGACCTCAACTTCATTTTATGAGCATTAACGGACGCTTAAGCTTCATGTACATTGTGGTATGTTAGAAACCTTCCTTTCCAAAACCCCGTCGTGTTCATTATATTCCCCCCCCCTCTGTACCTTTGTATTGATATTGAAAAATGGCGGAAATGAACGATGACGTTCATTTGTGACTTGAATATGACCCTGAATTTACAGTTCTTCAGTTTCTTTTTTTGAAGACCCTGAGGTAATAGACGCCGAATGTTTTTAAACTGAAGATTTGAATCCAAGTATATTTCGTGTGAGAATTATAAATTTGGGTTGAACTACGTTTGGTCCGTCTAAAACTTGAATTCAAAACAGCATTATTATTTTTGTTTTCCGGGTTTTGCCCACAGTACAGGTTTAAAAAGTTTTTGCTGTACTGAATAAAAAAGCGTTCTTCATCTCAAGAATATTGCTTAAGAAGAAATTGTGGTGGAAAGATCCCACTTGTTCTGGGTTGAAGCAATTGGTGGTTATTTTCACCCGTACACAGAAGAAAGTTTCGTCTCGAAATCGGCACGATCCAGAAAGAAAAAAACGGAACATCCCCGGCCTGGACCAAGATGTTCCCAAGGTTCTATCAACGCGCGTGGCAACTGTTGGTTTGTTCCAGAGTCTCTCGATAAGTTTACTGACATGGTTTTACCATGTAAAACTTTGGTGGGGAAGAGTGATTTCATCTGATTCTCTTATCAACTACCCGAGTTTACTTTTTCCTGACGCAGAAGTCGAGGAGGAAGGGCTGTGACTGCGCTCGTTCGGTCTTCGGGGCTGCGAGCCCTCGATTCCCTCTCCTTGGTGTTGTGTGCTTTTATTTTTTCGCAAGTGCGAGACACGGCGTCCGAGTGGCGGAAAACTAGTTTTTCCTCTTCCTCGACGCGAATCTTTTCTTTTCGGAACCTAGGGAAATAAATCCTCGGTTCCCGAAGAGAGAGGGAGAGAGGCCAGTGTTCGTGAATTCTTTTTATCTCTTCCGAATTGTTCGCCTGGTTTCCTTACGGAAAGTCTTCGAGCAACGACGACGGCATGGTGAAGGGAAAAGGTGAATGGAGAAAATAAATTTTCTTCTTCTTGCGTGTTGTCGTGGTTTTCGTCTTGCTTAGTGAGGCACCGCATGTTTAGTCCTAGTTATTGTTGTTTTGCATGCTTTCTATATTTGTTTGCAGGTTGAATGCGTTTGTAGAGAATCTTCACGATATTCGAGGGTTTTCCCCACTTAGAGCTGACCTTATGTATTTCTAGAGTAAGTATAACCGTGAAAAATAATTATATATTAGCCCATTATATTCTACGGTTCTGGGATTTCTTTTCAGATTTTTTAGTACAATTTCAATTTACTGCATAATGATGAATGAAAACTTTGCAGTTCCCGTCAGAGTTCTCCACCCATGTCACAAGGTGCTAAAAATTCGTCAGCCCAGCTAAAAAAAAAAAGTGAAAATGTTCTTACATCAGGTCTCCGTTTAAGTTGTAAACCATGGTTTCCACTGTGTACGAGGTTTGTTCCATATGTATTCTCGGTTATGTGTTTCACTCGTGTGAGTCTTGTTGGATAATCGAATATTTGTACAGTATTTATATTTTACGTGATAATTTGGTATCATCTTCTGGCGATTGTAGAGAGAGTAGACACGACGTTCAAAATTGTTTCGAGTGATATTCTAAAATCCAAACGAAGTTTTCCTACAGTAATTGACTGTTGGATGGATTTTCCGACTCGCTTAAAAAAAAAATAATACTGTACTGTCGGTCTTGTCGATAAAGTAGTGTATTCGAAGAGTATCCTAGATAATATACTATAAGGTTTGGCAACCATTTTTCGTAAAATGATTTTCTGACCTCATCAGGATTTGTGTTGACGATGATGAATGTGGAGGTTTCTTAAAATATCAGCAGGGAAGGCAGTAATTTCCTGTTGTCAGATTAAAAAGAGCACTAATCCCTTACTAATGAACAGTCCGTATGTTGCGTGACTGGTACTGAAGTGGTTTGAAAGATCTGACTTTTTCTTGCCCAAAAGATTTCATTTCAGGGCAATGATAAAATGTCTGAACAGCCTGTAGTATCAGCAAGAGTGATGCCAAGTTAACGATAAGCTGTTTCTTCGCCTCTCGATTCAGTGTTGGATGTCATCAAGATTAGGATGAAGCTGATGCGAAGATCGTGTCAATATCGTACTTCTATATTATTCAATGGTTTCTCGATGTTTAATTGTTTTCAAAAGCAAGTTTTAGGCGCACGGGAAAGTTTGTATGTATTTAATCAATGGCAAACTCCGTGGTATGCTTATCTTTGACGTGACATTGAGCCTCAACAGCACATTTTCTCTCGGAATGCGTGACGTGAGACTGTACAGCTCATGCCATGACAATGGCAGAAACTACATGCACAAATATATGAGCTTCTGTGATATGCTTAAATCAACTTTTCTCCGAAGAGAAGAGCGAAAATAAAAGGTTTGCAATGAACTACAGGAATCTCATGCATTATTATATTAAATGAACCTTATAGAGTACTATATGTGATCAATCTTGAACTGATGTAATCTTATACAGTACAACAAAATATTTCAAAAATTTGATTTTTTTTATGCTCTCGCTCATGAAATAGTGTACTTTAGTTCCGTAGCTGGAAATTTTCGCTGGGAAAATTTATTCACGTGCGAGAGGAAGTTTACAATTTGCCGTAATTTTGAGATTTCTGAAGGATCCAGGTATTTAGTTCATTTCTGCTGGCGTAAAAATTGCTTTTCATCGGGAAAGAATTTCAGAAACCCGGTACTAGACTTGGGAGAATTCGTGACTGGGTTGTCCGAGGTTATGGATGCGAAAGCTTTTGTTCTTGACGCATGGGTGCGTTTCTCTCATGCATCATGTCTAACCCGGGGTTTTTCGTTGATTTTTTTTCTTTTTCATTTGAGATTGAAAAAAAAGATGGGTTTTGCCGTAAGAGTAGTATTTTTTGGTAACATATTAATAATTTTGCTTCTTTTATTGCGGTGTGGTTTGGGATGAAAAAACCGCGATGCCGTGCTGCGGTAGTTAGTAACGTGACTATTTTTGCCCTTTGCATTGTTGCAGGTAAATCCCTGTGCGAGAAATGCGGCAAGAAATGCACCGGGGAAGTTCTTCGCGTCTCGGAGAAGTACTTCCACATCGACTGCTTCAAATGCAAAGGTGAGTTTATTTTCTTCTTTATTTCTTCCATCTTCCTTGTGTGTGTGTGCGTGTGTGTGTGTGTATTCCTTTCAGGCTTTCATGTTTCGAGATGGTTCCTGGTTCACTCGTGGGTTTCACGACTTTCACGATAGCCCTTGAGATCTTCGCGAAAGCGAGCAGTCTGTAGCAGTTTCTAAATTCGAAGATATGAGTGCAGTCAATAGCTTTCTGACTGAATGTTCCGGGGTTTTTTTTTTTAAGCACTAGGATGACTAAAAATGGTCTACCTGGTTGAATTGTTTGATGTACGTTTTTTGCCTCAAAAAATGCGAACGGAAAAAGTTCTTACCCTACTTGAGTTCAAAGTCAAACAATGCCGAAGTTTTCGGTGTGTAACTAGTCTAATCTATGACCCTATTCACATGTTAATTCTGAGAGCTGAACGTTCATTCGCTGGTTTTTTTTTTTTTTGTGCTCGTTTGTATGAAAAATGTTCCACTTTCTTGTCTAACTGCCAAATGAAATAAGATATAAAAGTTGATTAAGCCGTGGCGCACTCGTTTCAGACACTGCTTGCAACATGAGCCCTACCCAAAAATAAGTACTGTTTATCTGATGGGCCCTTCGTCCAATACTTCCCTTGCACTTTTTTTTTGCCCAATCCCACTTGATTTTTTTCCTGCTGAAAAGCATACTCCAAGTATATTTTTTATGGATCATTCGAAGATGTAGAAGGAAATGCGAAAAATAAAATGTTATTGCCTGATACGAAACGGACATGGCGCAATACCGAAGTTTATCCAAGAGTTGTTGAATTGCTCTGCGGGTTATTACTTGAGTATGTCTCCAAAGTTCTTCCTTCGCCCACCTGCTCGTTTACGTCAAATTCCTGGATGCATCTTTCAACTTTTCGGTGGAGGACTGACTTGACCGAGATCCTGTCGGCATTCCATCACCTTCATGAAAGTCACGATATTTGTTCATAAATTTCCGCACGGGTGGTTCCTGGGCCGAGTTTCGGCCGTGATTATGTGCTGTACGTGTTTGCGCACGGGTGTTTACTTTGCTTCTCCAAAGCCCAATTTTTTCTGCTGTTTTCTCTGCGTGTAACAGGGCCACGACCGGAGGCTAGTGTTACCATTGGCAAGTATTCCGGATGTGATTTCATCCTGTCGTTGTGTGCAGTGGGTTAATGGGATTTGCGTGTTCTCCACTTTTTTGAGGATTCCGGGGTCTTTGTTTTTTGTTTTTTTTTTATCAAGTTGGATCAGGTGACTGAACTTCGTAATGCAGATCGTTGAATTTTCTTCGTGTTTGTTTCGGCCACTGAACGAGAATATTTTCCATTGCTTTATTTGTATTTCAGCGTGCAGCGTTTCGTTGGCGCACGGAGGATTTTTCCAGAAAGACAATGATTTTTACTGCAGTTCCGACTACCAGAAGCGATATGGAACGAAATGTGGTGGCTGTGGAGAATACGTGGAGGGAGAAGTGGTGTCTGCTTTGGGGAATACGTACCATCAACGTTGCTTCAAATGCGCACGTTGCAGGTACTTTTTCATTCGCTCATGATCCAAATTGGTTAGATGTAGTGGGAAGCAGGAAGTGAAGAAACTGTGGAATAGATTTCTTCTGCATTCCCTCTTCCCCTTATTTGTGGAGTCTTTCGAATTTTTCAAATATTGTTAAGGAAACTGTTTTTTTTTTTTCTACGGTATCTTAATGTTCGGGGTATCTTTTTGATACCTGAAACTCCCGTTTTTCTTTTAAATAAATTAATCGAGTATCGTTAGATTTTTTTTGCACGAGGTTTAAAACATTTTTTTGGGTGCGATTTTGTGGATTCAGCAGAAGTATAGAACCAAAATGTGTTACGATTAATTCTGTGTTTCTTGTAAAGGCAACCGTTCCCCACTGGTGAGCGAGTGACGTTCACGGGAAAAGAATGTTTGTGCCAAAAATGTCTGCAAATCCCTGTGGTGGACTCTCAGTCTCCGACACATAGCCCTGGCACTGGACTGCCAAGTAAGTCCATTTTCAATGCCGTAACCCGTACTTTCAATAAATCTCTGTGACTAAATTGGGCTATACAGTGAAGTATTTTCGCCAACGTTTATGTGCTCAGAAAAAATGGATGGTGTGCTGAGTTTTTCTTTTCGAATGACTATAAAAGCGACAGGAATAGATAAAAATATAATGCATTGAATCAAGAACGAGAATTTTTTAATCTTCAGTAACTCCCGACAAAGAAATCCTTGTTCGAAAGATTTTTTACGATATTGAACACTGTATTGGTAATGTTTCAGATCTTACGGAGTTCTTGATTTCATGTGATCAAAAATAAATAACCTTCAATTGTGTTCAGAAAATTACCACATACTTCTGAATTCCTCAACGTGATTATTGTTGTTGCGAAGTATTAACTGTTTTCATCATCCGAATGCATTTTTATTCGATGAGGCATATTATCAAGAGTGCATGTTTTGAGGAAGTATTTATTGTATACGACGATCAGAAGTGAGTGGAAATGGAATGGCAAGATTTATTATATGGTTGCGCATGAGTCAAGTTGAATGAAATAAATAAGAGCTCGCATCCTTGAAGCACATTATTTTTGGATTTTCACTTTTCTGGTGAAAATCCGGTCGTTTTTGACTGTGGATACGCGCTTGATGTGATGATCTGCGATTGTGACATCCTCGACGATATCACTGGCATCTTCTCCTGCAGGGTGTGCTGGATGTGCTGACGAACTGAAGGAAGGCCAGGCTTTGATTGCCATGGATAAACAGTGGCATGTATGGTGTTTCCAGTGCGCAACTTGTTCAGCTATGTTGCACGGAGAGTACATGGGGAAGTAAGTATATGTTGGGTTTCCTCCCATTCCTCATTTCCTCTCGCAATTAAGACTAATGAGACAGCGTCGTAAACTAGATTCTATTCACGTCTGGCTTAGCTGTGGGCTTTTCGCAAAATTATTCAAGGTGTTCATCTTCTGTGAATATTTTTTTGAATCACTTCAGTCACTTCATATTTTGTTTTTCCGTTTGTATTCAAAATCCATAGGGCGGATAAGTGTGATTCCCATTACTGTACTTCAATTTCATCATCATTCTTTTGTTCCAGAGATGGGAAACCTTACTGTGAAAAAGACTACCAAAAATTATTTGGAATCCGGTGTGCTTACTGTCAGCGATTTATTTCGGGAAAAGTTCTTCAGGTAATGTAAAACGAGGCGCCTTTTTTCACGGCATATTACTCGAAGTATCGGGGTTTTTTTTTATCGCAGGCAGGAGAAAATCGTCACTTCCACCCCACCTGTGCCAGGTGCACCAAATGCGGGGACCCATTCGGTGATGGTGAAGAAATGTATCTTCAAGGTAAAGGTTCTGATGAACTTTGTTGTTAACTCAGTACGTTGATTTCCGTAGACTTTTTACTATACGGTACTGTATTATATGATTTCGTCTCTTGAATTGCGAAAGTTCTCACGCTTCGTTTTTATTTTGTTTATCATCCAGGAGCTGCTATTTGGCATCCGAAATGTGGACCTGGTCCTGGTGCGGAGCTCATAAATCCTCGACATCCGAACGATCAAAATTCGATCCCGAATGGGCATCTTCAGGATGAATATTATTCCGGTGGAGAGTTGGATGGTGTTGACGGAATGTCTTCCATCAGTGACACTCAGGTTACTTCCTCGCGTCGATACTAGCAGTGCTTTTTCAAAATTCGTTTATCTTGAGTATTTGCGAGCACGTTATACTAGCACAACCTCCTGTATTTCATGATTACGTATATAACGCATGCAGAAGTGTGTTCGCATGGTTCGAAGCAAGAGTTTGCTGCGCGTTGTCGTGGACATGTTCTGTATACCATGAAAATTAACTCAATATTGGGTTTCAATTTCAAGATAACTTATTCTGATAAGAGACTCTTCCGATAACGCATCCACTACTTTCGAACGCTGGTTACGTTTGTCATAAATTTCACGAGAAAATTTGATTTAAATTTCGTTTTAATATTCGTATCCCCGAGTATTGTACTTTATTACCTTGGTTTCATTTCGGGCTGTTGGAAGCGGAAGAGAAATGCTCTGCGGATACGAAAAAAATCTCGCATCCCGCATTAAAAAGAAAAAAGAATAACGTTAATGAACATAGCACTTGAAAAGCTTTTCAATCGCACTTTTGAGCAGTCCTGATGAAATAGCTGATAATATTCAGTTCTTCCAGTGCTGCAACCGTTTCGGTTGGCACTTTCTCGAGTGCCTTCCGGCCATTCTTTCAAGTTGTTGACCCGCTCTGAAAGTCCACGCTAGTTAACCTCTTCTTCCTTTTGTTTCGCCTTTTCGTTGATTGCGTTTATATATTCATATATAGGAGCCGTTTTTTTGTTGACTCGTTTCAGTCGGAGAGATTTTTCCGTTGTTACACCCCGAGTTACCACGGCTCCGGCGTTTCTAGTCCCTACAGTAGCTTGACTAGAAAGGTGTGTATTTGTACGTTACGTTGTCTTATCATTTCTGACGGCAACACATCGCTGCCCGAGTTTTCGGTTTTATCATGCTTGACGTGTGACGAATTTAGACTCATTCTCCGCTTCCATTTCAACCTGGCTGGTGCATTGTTTCTCGTTTGATCGTTGAAAAGTGTTACTTTTTGATTCGCCTTGTCAGTACATGGATGGAAGAATGTTCAGTCCCGGCTTCGTTTTGCGGGATTACAACAACAAGTCGCCGTCGCATGTGAAAAAGATCTTCACGTACAGCTATCTCACAGCTGAACCCTCGTTGGGTTATTTGAAAAAACCTATCCATCCGTATGATCGTGCTCAACCGAAGTCGCCGCATTTTCACCGACCCTCAGGTAATCCGTGTGACGACATGAAGTGAAACCAGGAGGTAAAGTCAAACCTCTTCAAGTCGAACTTCAAGGGACCAGCAGAGTATTTGAGTTAGGAAGAAAAGAAGCATTTTTTGGAGGAAACAAAAAAAAATTTGTAGAAACTAGTAGTTGGTGATATTCTAGAGATCTAGACCTTGTATTGCTTGATTGCTTCTGAAAATATTTCACAGGATGCTAAACTTGGAGGCAAGGGTTTATTTCCCCCAATTAGTTTTTCACATCTTCTTAAAGCACATCAACTTAGATTTTATTGCTTTCCTCTCTCCTGTGTCAATAAAATAATTATCCAGAAGGCCTCCGGGAAGTTCGAGTCGTGGAGGTTTGAGGATGAAAACCTTCGAGTCACCGAGGTTTTTGATGCATTTTTTCAAAGGGAATTCAGACATGAACTTTAAAAAAATATCGATACTGTGCGATATTCGACTTCGAGAGGTTCGATTTATCGAGGTTTAACTGTGCTTTTTTCCAGTGACTTGCATTCATTTCCTTTTCTGTTCTATTTTACTAGGTGGTTCGAAGAGTCCACGAGTACCGAGTAGGAATTCAGAACGACGCAGTGGAATGAAATCGTTGATTTATCACATGGAAGCGATAAGTCCTCGTCCACGATCGCCGCATATGAATAACGAAGAACCGATTGAGCTTTCGCAGTTTCCTGCCGCGCGTCCTCCAACACCCGGAGAAACGCCGAAAATAGAAAGAGATGATTTTCCTGCTCCTCCCTTTCCGTACACTGACAGAGGTGAGTACCATGGTCTTACAGAGTTCGATAAGCGATTCGTCGTGATTCATGGTGTCATGGTGAAAAATCGTGGCAACGCTCTTGACGCGATTATTAGTTCCCGTCCCCGAAAATAACGCTGAATAACGTGGTTGCGGCCTTCACTCGAAATCACGTGGATAAAATGAGATCAAGTTTGGGGGGAAAACGCAGAGGAAAATCTTTCCACTAGTAGAGCATTCAGAATAATTTTCTTTTCTTTTTAGTCAAATTATTCCAGTTTAATGCATGGCCAAGGATGAATGTTTGGCCAACTCCAGGGATATTTTTCCTTAAATTCAATTTTTCGGAAAATTTATCAGTCCAAATAAATTCAAGGTTCGTCGGTTTATTGCCTGCATTTTCCATAAAAAATGTCCAATTTTTCTGTGATCAATATAGTTTTTTCCTTTCCAAGGTCTTTCGAAATTAGGGCGTGGCTAACAATCTCGTAAATCCGTACAGTACTGTATTTTAATTCGTGTTAATGCACAGAAAAAATTAAGCCTCGTCCGGCCGAATTTCTGCGATGTCAAATGCGTTTTAAAGTCGCCACAAGCGTCAGACCACTACAAATGTCGAAGTCTTCGCTCTACATTGCACTTCCAAATTTCTAGACGAGCGGAAATCCCTTGGGACTAAATTTGTTATATTTGTTGCAATAAAATAAAAAGTATTTCATTCGTTTCTGAAAAGCATCGGTCGATCTTCGTGCATCTGGGTGGAGAATCCCAAATGGAAAGTCCATTTTTATCCCTTTGTCTAAATCGCTTTCATCTTCTAGAGCGAGTCCGACGATGGTCAGGTTCAGCGAAAAATGCTTTGGATGACGACGATGAAGAAGCTAACGAAGTATTGAGCGGTGATGGCACAGGTCTGAAAGAAAATGTTGATCCACGGATCAAGGTAAATTATTATACGATCTTTATAAAAGAAATGATTGTGGTGGTCTGATCGTCAGTGTGTTTCGTTAGAAAACCGAAGAAGAGCTCTTAAAGGCTAGCAACGGAATGGGCAAGGTGTTTTTGGACCAAGTTCGAGAAAGAGAGAAAATCCGTCTGTGGAAACTGAAGCACCTAGATCCTCGCAAAGCGAGTCGCACTCCATCGGCTGACCGAGAACCGAGCTATTCACTGAGATTTCCTTCATCTGTTGACGCTTGTGAGTTTAATTAGGTCATTTCCGAACAAATCAACTTTTCGACGTTTCATCCTTGAATTTTCACTAATGTTGTTCTTCTATCAAAATGCACGAAATTATTTTTTCCACAGCGCCTTCAAGGTACAGTGACCATCCGAGACCGTGGGAAGAGGACGAGTACGAAAGAAGCTCATCATATCGATCATCTGCTTCAAGATCCGTTGGTACTATACCTTCCTACAACGGTATTTGGGCTTCTTTGTACATATGCTGTCGTTTCTTTGTCTTGCAATTCTTTTGGGGGTACATGTATTTTCTCACATTATTACTACAGATCACTGCACCATCAACAAGCGAAGAAAGTAAAACATTTTCACACATTTCAAAATGCCTTGATAAAAGCTTCCACGTATAACAATCATTGGGCGTCCAACCTGCTTGATTCATCCTTTTTTTTTTTGCGCTAACTAGATCTGTCTTTGGGTTGTTTTCCTGGTACAGTATTTATCTTTCGTTGTTGTTACGTACTAATATTTTTTCGGTTTTTATATGCGTATTGCTGTTGCTTTTTCGTTTATTTCCGTTTTTTTCTGTTTGTCTTGCCGTCGTATAACGCCACTTATTTGCATCTGCCGTTGCCGTCGTTCTCCGCCCTGGAATTGATTTTGGCTTTGTTGCCGCTTGCGTGGAAATGGAAATAGTTGTGTCATCCCTTCGTCAAGTACCCAAACCCGGGTATGGCCTGAAAGCCGCCACACTTCCGGCCGCCGGGCGCAATGGCGGACCAGCCGGCATGTTTGTGAGTGAAGCATAATGCTTTGGATGCTTCTTCTTCGTTTTATTTCCTTTTTCGTTCCTCTTACCGTTTATCTTAATTTCCCTTTCCTCGGTGACCAACAATATCCCCCATTTTTTCTATTCGCCTAATTTTTGACCTTGCGCTGGTCATTTCGGGAACGTGTCAGATTCCAGTTGATGGCCGCTTCTGCGTATTAGTCGAGGTTTTTGAGATTCTCGAACCATTTTTGATGGTTTTTATCAAGTTTCACGCGTCAGGATTTTTACTTCTGCTATCATGATGAAAGAGTGGATTGCACGCCCAGTATCCGTGACGAATTGACTTACTTAACCAAAGACTTGATCGAAGTCTTACTTTTATGACAAGGTCTAATGAGGATATGATTGGTAAAGATCCACATTCTCCCTCATCTTATATACGATGTGCGAAATACTGGAATAAATGTTTCTTTTCGTTTGAGAAGGAAACACCACACAAACACTTTTAAAATGTCGAATTGATATCAAGAAGACGATCACTCAGTTTTTTCATCGATATTGAACCCATATTGATGTACTGTATTCGGTTTCTTGTACAGTATTTCACTCACTCGCCTGCGACATCAACCGCCATGCATACTCATAAAATGAAGTAATATTGTGCTACTGACTAATATGCTTTTAGTTAGTCGAGCGGAAAATGCAACGATCTCGACATTGTTCTTAATTGTTTGAAAGACTTGCCATCGTTTAAAATGAAGCATATGATCGTTTGGTAAAAGTTTTGCAAGACAAAAGAACCCATTTTGTTTGAATTCCTTCATCGCGTCAAATATTCTGTGACCAATCGTATCCATTGTCAGTCGTGAGTGCCTTACGACACGTACCCAAACCTGGATATGGTCTGGCTAAAAATCCGTACCGTTATTACACGAGATGTTCCGCGTCTCCGCACCGACCCCGGACTGCCATGAGCACTTCTGCTCTTGTCGTGAGTGTTCAGAAATTTATCCCGTCGATGAAATACCGATTCAAGTTACCCCTTTGGGCAGTAGGTCTTCGTAGGACTGAAGTTTGGCCCAAACCCGAAAATGTTCCTTTATTTCTCTGATTTCCTTTGCCGATGAGGCTTTCCTCCTTTGGGTATGAAGTACCGTTTTTTTTATCTAATTTTCGTTCGTATTTTTAGAATGATTATGTTGATGGGCGCGGAATGGGCGAGAAGACACACAGCACGGATCTCAGCAGCGCCAAGTCTGATGGTAAGACGAATTTCTCGTGCCATCGTGGCTAAATGCCGACTTAGTGCTTTTATCGTGCCTGCTCGATACTGTAAATACAGTAAGTCATTTGCTGAGATTTGTATAGAAAGAGGCAGAAAATTTTCTTGTTCAATTTTTTTTCTTTGACTCTGTGAAATTCGTGTTCGCGGGTTTGTTGAGGGATGTGCCCCAATGCAAAAGATTAATACTGTACAGTATATCCTTGCCTTATTTTTTAAATCGTCACTCTGAAGGCACAATCTTGGAAATAAGGGAAGCTAACATTTCGAAGTATTCGGAGTGCAAATTGCACGTATGAAAATGCATTCGGCAACTCTCTTTTCTGAGCAGTTTTTTTTTTCCATTGACTTATTTGATTTGCATACAGTATACTGTATTAGTTGAAAACTTTTTTTTTTTTGGTCGAAGGGAGCCCTCATTCACAGTTCGTTACAGTAATGAATTGCTGTTGAGATTTTGGAATTTTTAAAATGAGCCTTGTACAGCAGGGGTTTCTCGTAAATTTGTAGGAAAGGGAAAAACTGTCCATATCATCCCCCAACGAATGCATTTTTTAATATTTTAGGCTCTGCCGGAGGAAATCGCGTCTTATAATTTATGTAGCCTTTTTTGTTCGAGTTAATACAGTAGTCCTTGAAACTTCAATTTAAAAAAATTTGCCTCCTTATGAGCACATATCTTATTTCATTGCGGAAAAATAATGTTCATTACGTATACGCTCATTTTTACATGTGCAGTTTCGACAATTTCGCTTCATGGCGGCAACGGGAAGAGAGAAATGGTGAGCAATGAACGATTCAGGGGGTTGCTGTTTGATGTTGAAGTCTGACGAAAACTTTCGATGATCTGACAAAAGGCACGCGAAATAGTGACGAGTGAAACTTTCACTCCTGGGATGAGAGCGGCTGCCGGAAGTTCAGGAATGGCGGCGCACCTGCGCCAAAGCTTGCCCAATATGAAGGTACCACTTCCTGGCTCCGGAGAACCGCCGAAAATATATGCCATGCATCTTTTGATGACGACCAACTACAGACTTCCAGGAGACGTGGATCGCGCGAATCTGGAGGTAAGTCGTTAGATTCACAAATGTTTTACCCAGTGGACTAGAATTTTTCCTGAAGATACCAAGTGGTTTTGATTTTCTGTGCACATTTTTGGAAATTTCATTAATCCTTCTCAAATGTTCTCCGCTAACATTCAAGGATGAAGCTCCGAAGTAAGAGATAGTGGCATCTTGGAACAGAGAGGGACTTGATTTGGTCCACGTTGCCTAAAATAAGCTAAGTGTTGTAAATACAAGGGAAGGTACAGTACTGTTTATATGAAAGCATAACTAAGGATCAACAATAACTGCCTGCCGGAAAATACGTTGAACTACTGTATTTTATTTATTCAATGGAATTCCGAGCGTAACAGAATTATCTGTTCTCTCAAAATCAAGTTGGTACTTCGATGTTCTTTGCGAGTACGGGACTTGTAACTTGTCTCTACCCACCGAAGGAAAAGTCGAACCACTTGATATCTTTGGAGAAAAAAAAGGGCGTTCTGCATATTTGAATATTTTACAAAAATGTTACGCTTTATCACGTTTTATAGCGACATCTGTCGGAAGCAGAATTCGAAAGGATTTTCCATATGTCTCGAGCGGACTTCTACCGGTTGCCGCAATGGAGAAGGAACGATTTGAAGAAGCGGAATCAGCTATTCTGAATGTTCAAATTTACAATTTTTCTTTTTTCTTGGTCTTGTGCTGTGTTTTTTCTTCTTTCCAACAAGCTACGCGCATATATTGCGATTTAGCTGCTATAATTCAGTTTTTGTTCGTTCTCCAAGCTTAAATGGAGTTCACTGCTTAAAAGCTTTTCACGACCGATTTCGAGGTAGGAGCGGTTATTTATGTTTTTGAAGCGTGTATGCAGTTTCATTTCAGTGGTTGTATTTTTTTCTCTCATCACTAGCATTCTTCGGATATGTCGAGGGCTTTATACAAGGATGACTTACGTCTTTCATCTCAAAAATCCAGAAGTTCTTTTTCCTTTTTTTTTTCATCCTCATTCAAGAAGTACGTTTGTTAGCCGGAAATTTATCTTATTCCTCAGCAGTCTGCTGTTCCCCGGATGCAATCTGTCTTCATTTTCTTATTGTTTCTTTGAGTGCATGTTAATTTGAGGTAATTAAATGATTGCCGCAACAAAGGCAAGGATTCGAACGCCTTCAAGTCTTCCCATCATCAATCCCCAAATTTTTTGAGTGACGTTAAATGGAAGCGAAATGGTTTTTGTTTAGCCTAGGTTAGAAGCGACGATGCCACTCCGACTCTCGATTTCTTTTTTGAGGCATTAAATGTTTCTTCCGAATTTCGACCTGTTCCAGAGGGTCTTCGAGATTTTTTCTCTCTGTTTTGTTGACGTGATAGGCAGTACGAATTGTTTTGCTTCTGGACGCTTCTCTAAAGCAGGACGTATTTCTGCTTTTCCGAAGGATCAGCTCTTGCTTGAATCAGAAAATGATTAGGAGAGTGCATTGTTTGAAGTGATTTGTCCTGACTTATTACAACATTCGCCGGAAACAATAGATTCAGTTTTTGGAAAGCGTGTTGCATTTGTTCTTCATTACCCACGGACAAGTTCTCAATGGCAATGATGGCTGTAGAAAATTTCAGAAACTATATTCAAGACTGTCTGTCTGATAGCCACTAACCCATGTGTAATTTGTAGATGTTCATTTGTATTTTTCTAAAAAGGAAGAGTCAACCGAACTTCCCAAAAATTGATCTCTTTTTTAAAAAATGGCAGACCAAAGCACAGAAACGTTTGTAAAACTTCGGTTTAGACTTGCTGTGATCTTTCCATGACCACATATTATTTTTTCTTCTGAACCACTGCATATAGCATTAATCCAAGAAATATCCATGTGTGGAATCCAAAATACACATGCATAAATAATTTATAGCCAGCAAATGAAAATACTGTATGTTATTTTGGTTTGATTCATTCTATCTGACCCAGAAAATTGTATGCCTAAGTCTCCTTGATGTATCTCATCTGCAGGATTGGGACATGCTTTTACACCCTAAATATACAGTAGTAACTCATTACAACAAATCTTGTACCAACAAATAACTTCTTATCCAATGAAGTCATTTTCTAGGTCCTTGCCCAATAGCCTTATTGGGATGAATTGCTTTTTAACAAATGCTCCTTTATACAACAAAGCTATTTTACTGGTCCAATGGCTTTATTTTGTCATAATTCATGGTAAATAACCATCAGGTATTTACAATACATTTGGGGAATGAAGCATTTTGAACAATTGCTCCATTACAACAAAGCTATTTGACTGGTCCCATATACGGCTTTGTTTTCATGTAATATGTTGTAAATAGCCAGCAGACATGTGGTGGATATCTGCTTTTACATTTTTCCATTTACCCAACAGAAGATTTCAGCATGTATTTAAAATATTGTTTTCCAAAATATGAATTAAATATGAGTTATCCACGTTATTAGGTCCACTTAGTACACATTGTAATTATCCGTGGAAAAAGGAATAATTTGATTGCATTCATTTTCAGATTTGAAAAGTCGTCAGTTTGAAGAATATTCAAGATAATATGGCAAAATCTGAAAAAACTCAAACAATATTTTTTAAATCTTAATTTTATAACTGATTTAGTATGCTACTAACTATACTAAATCAGTTCTTAAATTGAAAAAAGAAAAAATTTAATAAATCATATAAGATAAATTTAAAAAAAGATTCAATGTTGGCAGCAATAAGAAGGTTGTGTTCTAGATTTGAAATACTGTACTGTACTTTATGCTTATATACAGGGTGGATGAAAAACTTGACCAATTTTTAACTTGAAATAGCTCAATAGCAAATCAAGCTGCAGAAATGAAAAAAACACCGAATGAAAGCTTGTTTAATTCTCTTAATTTTGGATAGGATATAGTGTTATGCTCCCATTAAGTGCCACAGCATGGTCACAATAAGAACCCTTCGAATGAAAACTTTTTATTCACAAAAAGAAAGTGTCAGGCAACATCTAGCACTAAGCTGCTGCTGATGTTCTCTAGAGTCTAGAGCTGTTTTCAGCTTAAATGGGGTGCAGGGTCAATAATTTGACTGGAAAACTTCATGCTTCCTTCAATCAAGAGGATTGCACAACACATTCCCAAAATTTAGGAGTGGGGTCATCCCAACTAAAATTGAATCCAGTTCTTACCCCACCTCCTAAATTTTGGGGGATTGTGCTTCCTCTTGAAGACAGCGTGAAGTTTCCCAGTTGAATTACTGATCCTGCACCCCACTCATTCTGAAACAGCTTTGGAGAAAAGCAGCTTATTATAGTAACAGAAGTTGATGGTCAACTTTTTTGTGGAAAGTTGTCATTCAAATATAGTTCTTGTGACCAGGCCATGATACTATATTGGGACTGTAAAAGCAAATATCATTCAAGAGGAAATTTAAAAAGCTTTCATTTGGTGGTTTTTCATATCCGCAGCTCGATTTGCTACCGGGCTATTTCAAATCAAAAATGGGTTCACTTTTTTTGTCTACCCTGTATACAACAGGATTAAGGAAATTTGTCACAATGTAGTATATTAAAATTATTTCCCACCAATGCAATACATTAACAGAAATTGAAACGAAGCAATCTAAATTCTTTCAAGGGCTGCATATATATTTGCATGGTTTTGAGATAGTAATTTTTTTGTAGATACATGCAGTACTTTATATTTCGATTGCCGGAGCCTGAGCAGGATATCTAATGGAATCTGTGTCAGCATTAAAAATTCCTCCACTACTATGGCCGCCCCACTATGATAACCGGTGTGCACCTGATCAAGTACGGGTGTGCAGTAATTCATCAGGGAGGTTGAGTGCCGTCGAGCGTAAGTTAAATCTATTGGTTACCATGTGACCTGGGTTTGTTGGAAAAAGAGCGTGCGGTTTCTTTGTCAGTGTTAGTGTGTGTATTTTTACAGATAATTTGTCAGAACAGTAAAACTTGTTTAGTTTGTGACCATGCATAACTCTCCACCTTTTCTCCCGATAATTTTTCAGATTTGATTTTTTCGCGTCGTAGAACAACCACGTTCAAGATGATGCGCGGAATGGGCATGGGAATGGGTATTGGAGCCCCAAAGCCAATCTCCAGTAATTTGTTGGGAACTCTTTGGCACAATTCGGTTCTTGCGCCGCAGCTGAGCGCCTTGAATGTCCTGGACTATTTTGCCAACCACACGAATCCTTTCTATGACCGTACGTGCAACAATGAAATCATCAAGATGCAGAGGCTATCGCTGGAGCATCTGTCAGGCATGACTGGAGTTGAATATGTTGTGCTTCACACACAGGAACCGATTCTGTATATAATTAGGAAACAAAACCGCACCGCACCCAATCAGGTCACTCCTCTGAATGATTACTATATAATTGCTGGTCAGGTTTACCAAGCACCTGACCTGGGCTCCATAATCAATTCTCGTGTGGTGAATATTATTCATCACCTTGAGTCCGCTTTAGATGAAACAATGACATACTCTCGATTCCATCCGTCGCGTGGATATTGGTGGGAATTTCCATCTCAAGATTCTTCCGGAAAAAAGACCGTTCAGAAGAAGCCGGAGGACGGTAGCTCCGCTTTTCAGCGAATGAGAGTGGACAAATTGTTGAATGATTGGGCACAGATGTTCCCTCCGAAAATCAGACCTCCAATTCCACCGAATGTTGCTACTCCAATGTCCGAAGCGTCAGGGAAACAAGAAGGGGTAACGAATGGTCCTCAAAATCTTGCAGCTTCATCTGGAGGCGCGAAACCGACGGTGAATGACAACTCCAGTACCAATGCATCGGCCGAACTGGGTGGTATGCGTCCAGTTGAAGATATAAAGGAAGAGAAAGGGATTCGATCTCACCCTCCACCCGAAAAAAAACGCCGATTAGACCAAACGCTCCCCTCGTGATTTGTGCAATTATTGCTTGTTTTGATCGATGGTTGAATTTTATTACTGTATGTTGTATTTGCTGGTTGTTGTCTCGGGTTCTTTTATTCTAAAAATATCATATTCAATTTTGTGGACACTAATATTTTCCACAGGAAGCAAAATTGAAAATTCTGTTTTCTAAGCGATGGAAACCATCCATGGCGTTGGGGAGTTTGATGCGGCGTTGTCGAACAACCGGTGCGTATAGCATGAAGTGCTACGAAATGCGGGGGGAAAAATGCAGAAATCTGATGAAAACATTTACTGCACGATTTCAGTAACATCCTCGCTGCGCACTTCAGAGCGGAATGGGCCCCACAATGTGCTCAAGTGGAAACCTCATTACTGGAGTTGAGCAAGAACCCCGATTTCAAGGTAAGAACAGTTGCTGTGTAAGGTATCTTATACTCGGCTATGTGAATGATTTTGTCGGAATTTTTCGTCGATTTAAGTGATATTCTGCTATTTGATACTGCGAACCATTTGACTGAATTAGGCTGATCGTGCGGGGGAAATATCAATTATTCGAGGATCGAATATCTGTTGAAGAGATGGATAAAAAATCAATTCTTATTTCTTAGGACTTGCAGGTTGTAAACGTGGAAGCAGAAAGTGTGCCCCAGATTTCACTCAAGTTTGGCATCACGGCTGTTCCCACCGTAATCATTTTTCGTAAGCAGCTGGAAGTTGATCGGGTGAACGGGGCAAATCCTGCTGAACTCGTCAATAAACTGAAAAAGCAGGTTGGCCGTTTGGCGAATGAACGTGTTAAATCGCGTATGACTTGAGTGACTCCTTGTTCTTCAGCTTCAGACAACCCAAGCCGATTTTGACGATTTCGGAGATACCGATGGGGAGTCGTTAGAAGATAGACTGAAGCGTCTTGTGAACGCCGCGCCCTGCATGATCTTTATGAAAGGATCACCTGATGAAGCGAAGTGCGGGTTTAGCCGCACATTAGTATCCATTTTGAATAATCATCAGGCCGATTATAAGCATTTTGACATTTTATCCGATGAGGTCGTCCGACAAGAGCTGAAAAAATTTTCCAATTGGCCCACGTATCCACAGGTGAGGTTTCGTGAAGTTCATTATGAGGCTACCCATCTATTCGTTTTTTTTCTCCTCCACTCTGTGCAGGTTTATGTGAAAGGAGATCTTGTTGGAGGGTTAGATATCATCAAAGAAATGGAAGCCAGTGGAGAGCTGGATTCCATTCTGCCGAAAAAGCAAGATCTTAACCAGCGGTTGTCAGCACTAACAAAAAGTCATCCAGTGATGATATTCATGAAGGGTGATCCTCGAACACCCCGATGTGGATTTAGCAAAACGTTGATGGAAATCATGGCAGAAACAGGGTAAAATTATCTTTCATATAGGTTCTCTGAACGAGATCCTCAAGTCTTTCTGTGAAATTCTAGGGTTGCGTTCAAAACTTTCGACATTCTCCAAGATGAGGATGTTCGGCAAGGATTGAAGGTGTTCTCCAAATGGCCAACGTTCCCTCAAGTTTACGTCAATGGCGAATTAATCGGTGGTCTCGATATTGTGAAGGAATTGAAAGCTTCTGGGGATCTGATCTCCACCTTGCAAGGGGCTTGAGATTTTTTATCTTCCTGACAAGGGCATTGAACTCCCGACTTGTGAGTAAACAAAACAAAACGCCGTGAAACGTTTTTTGCCGTGCTTTTATTTCTTCTTCAAATATGTAGCATATTTATTTACAATGCGATTGTCAGAAATCAAAATTCATGCAAGATTCTCAGACAAAAACTTTCACCAGATGAGAGGTATTATGAGAGAAGTTGTTCTCAAATATTTATGATACAACGGATCATCTCCCCACCTCTTGAGTCCTTGCTGTTCCAGAGGTGGAACTCCACTCAGACTCACCAGCCAGAAAACGTCGAATAATGGGCATAAGAGAAAAGCATACAGTCTCCAACCCGAAATTACGTTTGTCAAAGGAACGTACAACGCGAACCACATGATCATCTCTCCCAGATAATTCGGGTGCCTCGACAGACTCCACAAGCCTGAGTGAATGAATTTCCCCTGAAAAGAAAATTGGTTTCATCGAGTCGTCACAATCAAAGATTAATTGTTCAAGTTATAATGCAGAAATTCATTCCTTGCTAAATTAATTAACCTTGTTAGCATTTTCGCATCGAAAACGAGCCTTTTGGTAGTCTGCGATAGTCTCAATAAGAAATCCCACAGTCCAGAGGCTCCATCCGGTGTAGTCGTCTTTGTTGAGATTAGGATCAACATGCTGGCTCGAGTCCGTCAAGTTTACGATTATGGATGGCAGGAGGGTCACAAAAATCCAGATTCCTGAGGGCATTCATCGTTGAGAATAGTTTTGGGTCCAATTCATATCGATTCGTACCTTGTAGAAACCAGTGGATCACGAACTTCGCGGGTTTGTCTCGGATTCCATTGAATCGTCTGTCAAAACCCTCCTTGCAAATCCGGATGAACAAATAAGATCCAAGCCTGTTGAAGAACGTGGTTATGGAAGTTGAAGTTATATTCTGACGAGATGTCGACGATTGTTCTACTCAGATCTTAAATTATTCTGCACAGAAAAATTCGGTCGAAAATAAAAATTGCTGGCCAATAATCGAGTATTCAAAGTACTGCTCTGAAGAATTTTACTAGCCAAATTCGAGCTCTAATGAAAGTTCAGTGTAATTTCTTTCGAATTTCAGTCCAATTTTCAAATGAAATTTACTACTGTATTTCGAGAGTTTTTTTTCGGAGTGGTTTTTCTCCGATGATACAACAACCATAATTCGTTAGATAAATCATACCAATGTCCCATTGGGAAGATACTCAATGGAGATTTTATATTAAATGCAGCCGCGGTACTGTATTACATTTTAAGACACGTGTCCAATATTTTCTTAACTACTCTCATTAGATTTAACAGGTTGTTTGTACACGTTTGAATTGTTATTTTGACTTCGATATGGTAGGATTGTTTCACTAGCCTGGCACATTGCAGCAGTATCAGACAAGTTTGAACGAGCTGTCGAATATTCCTCGTCTGATTCGACATGTAACTCAGAATGGCGAGTGTAGCCAATGTGACCGATCCTGCGAAATTGAGCCCAAATCGATTTAGTGCCGACTATCAATGCAAGGCACCAAATATTACCTGTCAGGTCGAAGAATCTTTCTGTCTTTCGCAGTGAAGAAAATGTCCACATGACAGCTTGAATCCCGAAATTAAGGCAAAGAAGAAAACGCAGCGATCCGAACATAGAAATAATTTCCGGTGTTAAGTTTTCGAAATTCTTCGCCGCGTCAGCGCCGATTTTTTGAAACTTGCTCCATGTCTGGCTCTCCACTTCTTGATATTCGTCCCACGAAGGCACTGACATGATGCTCTAGTTTAATTTTCTCTGAAGAAGTGGTTAAGAGGACAGAATATCATTTTCTCACGAATCACCATGTGGTTTTCTCCACACTTATTTTCGCACAAATCACTGTGTGACCTCCTCTTAACTCCTATCGCCTTCAAACTAACGGTTTTCCTTCTTGGTCCTAGGTCGAGGAATTGAGCTGTTGCACCATTACATTCGGGAAGCCTTGAACATTTCTCAACGCCTGGAAGTTTCTGGACATTTCGATTTTGCTGGGGGTTAATTCTCGAATAAAGTCGCCATTACGGATTTCTTTTTGGAGTACAAATGCTTTTTTTTTATAATCTTTTCAAAACTTCGAATTGATCGCACTGTTATGAAAAAAAATGTTTTCTTTGCAGAAACCCTTTCAAGATCGACGCTTTGCGGAATGTTCGTTCAATGTGTGGTGCAAAATAATTTAAATGGAGAATCGACGATTGATGAATTGCGAGCCAAGCTGAATTGCAAAATGTACAACAACCAAGATGGTTTCGGTTTTTTGAGCTCGAAGAGAGTAGCTCGCGATTATTTTGTGTCTTAGGGAGAAAACAACGTCTTTTTCACGTGAGTACATATTCATTTATTTCACACGCGTTTCCCGCCGGAAATCCAGGCTATTTTCAAGCTCAGGAAGAAATCACCTTCACCGTGAAACGGCAATAATCCAGTAACTTTTTTTTTTTACAAACCCGTGTTCACCGAAAGGTCGGTAAACTAAAGACGAAATTTTCACCACATGTAAGGAATAAGAACAGAGGTTTTGCTCAAATATTTGCGATATTCTGGATCAGAGCCCCATTTTTTCAAATCTCTCTCTTCTAGAACGGGTATTCCGCTGAGGGTTGTGAGCAAAAGCATGTCGAAAACCGGGCAGAGGATGAAAGTCCATCGCATCCATCCGGTCAGAACATTTGTCAAGGGAATATAGAGTGCAAACCACATGATTATTTCTCCCAGATAGTTGGGATGCCGAGAGAGCCTCCACAGTCCCACGTTCACGAATTTTTCCTGGAATAAAAGAAAGTTTGCGACACCGAAATTTTCAGGAATTTATTTTCGCTTACCTTGTTCGCAGAGTCGCTTTTGAAGAGAGATTTCTGAAAATCAGCTGTAGCTTCAACGATGAAACCACATGCCCAAAGTCCGTAAGCAGCATAATCTCTGTTATTGAGATCATATTCGAGATGCCGTCCCGCGGGTGTTGTGTTCACCATCAGAGATGGGAGCAAAGTCACGACCACCCAGATTCCTTAAAAAAAACCTTGGAATGTAATATTTTTAAGTAATATTAACTACGAGGAGAAATTACCTTGAAGGACCCAAGAAAACAGAAACTTGAATGGATGCTCTTTGACGCCGGAGAACCTGCGTTCCAATCCGTCGGTAGAAATCCGTGCGAATAGATACGTACCCAGTCTGCAAAGATATAAATTTTTTTCAATTCTTACTCTTGCTTTTCCGTGACGTGAATCAAGAATAAAACGGCATTTTCTTCGATTCACACGTTTCTAAATCTACGGTTTGCTTTCTCTTTACCTTAGCGCCCAGACGAGCACCAAAGATGTCTGAACGAGTTGACGCAAATTCGTAGTTTCGGTGTACATATAACTTGTGAGAATGATGGCGGCATATGTGACGGAACCTGTAAAAGAAATCAGCATCAATACTCCGTCAAATTTGCGTTAGAAATCGGTAATACCGGTCAAGTCGTAAAGTTTGTCAGTTTTAAACCATGACGATATGGCCCACATTACTCCTTGAATGCCGAAGGTCATCATCACCAAGTAACGCAAATAGATGAAATTGTCGAACACCATGCTTTCGGCGGTTTTTTCAGTTTGAATACCCATTTTCGTTGCATCTTGCCACACTTGTTCCCCGGTCTTTTGAATATCACTCCACGATGGCAGAGACATGGTCAGATTTCGGTAAAACTCACTTTTTTTCAGAGTACGTTAAGAGCAATGTGCAATCTGAAAGCGTTATAGCACGACTGCGCGACTGAATTTCGTAGAGGTACTGTTCCGCGCTTTACCAAGGGAGGTTCAGCGCATCGAAACTTTTTAATGGAAAATAACGAGTTCCTGAGAACGGCTATTGAGAAATCTGGGCGGAAATTTCTAGCGTTTTCATATCGGCGTCATGGGTAGGAGGTAAAAGCTGTGCCTTGACCATGAGATTTTTTTATCCTATCTTTTTCGCGTTTTTCCCAGAAGCAATCATTTAACTGTTCGTTGAGACTACGTACAGTAGGTCTTCTGCTGGTGAGCATTTTCCGCGAAAAGAATTTTCGGAATATTTTCTCGTCGACGCGAGTTGCTCAAGTTTTAAAATACGGTACCTGCCGTTTTTGTATTGCGATTAATTTACCGGTGTCTCTACTGGCACTCTCATGAAATGAAATTCGAATATCACCAGAAATCAATCTCCCTTTATTTTCTCTACGTGAACAACGATCAAATGAAATCAATCACCTTTTCATAGTATATCAAGCATGGTTTACCACAAGTACGGAATGAGAACGGAAGTTGCCTTCAAATATTGTTGATAACCGGGTTCTGAACCCCATTTCTTCATCCCATGTTTTTCAAGTAGAGGAATTCCACTGACGCTCGTTAGCAAAAATGCGTCGAATGCTGGACAAAGCACAAGCAACCATCGCGTCCATCCATTTGTCGCGTTGAAAGCTGGCAGGTACAGTGCGAACCACATGATGATTTCTCCCAAGTAATTTGGATGCCGCGAAATGCTCCACAGACCGGTATTGACGAATTTTCCCTGTGTCAAGTAGGTACACAACGAAAGTTAGGCATCGATTTCCTAGGGTTTTTGGTGCTGTTCTGCTACGTGTTCTAACAAAAAAACTGTCCCTGAAACCCGAACCATTCTTTGAAATACGAGGGTTCTAACAAAATTTCTCGGAGTAACAATGAAAATGGCATTTAATTGAACTGCAAAAAATTTATTCTTCAGGGAAAACATATTCTTTGGTACACACAAAAAAATCAGCCTGGTTTGACAATTTTTTCTAAATTTTTTTCAAAATTCAACCCAATAGAGTTTTGCTCTCCAACTCAAAAGATGAGGCACCCTTTTTTATTGTAACCCAGGTCACCCCTCAGAATTCTTGAAATAAACGTGGCATTCATGCCAAGGGTTGCCTCCAGGTCATCTAAGTTAATTTCGCCGTTTTCATCGACAGCTGCCGTCGATTTCATCGACAGCCGCCAAAGTGGCGGCTGTCGTTGAAAATGGCGGAATTACCTTAGAATGCTTAGATGACCTGGAGGCAAACCTTGGCATGGAGGCAAACCTTCATCGACAGCCGCCGTCGATGAAAATGTCGGAATTACCTTAGATGACCTGGAGGCAAACCTTGGCATGAATAGTCACGATGAATAGACACGTTGATTTCAAGAATTCTGAGGGGAAAGCTGGGCTACAATAAAAAAAAGGGCGCCTCATCTTTTGAGTGGAAAGCAAAACTCTATCGGGATGAATTTTGCAAAAAAATTAGAAAAATTGTCAAACCGGGCTGATTTTTTGTGTGTGCCAAAGAATATGTTTTCCCTGAAGAAAAATTTTTTTCAGTGCAATTGTACACAATTTTCATTGCTACTCCGAGAACTTTTGTTAGAACCCTCGTACTGTACTGTGATCGCATGACCCGCTTGTAGCTCAGAAACTAAACGTTATCCCTGAAGAGAAAATCGTTGCATTCCAGATTATTCACTTCAGCTTCATCTGCATTCAATTGTTCCAGTTGAAAAAAGATCCGGCGATAACGAAGTTTATTTTTTTTTAGATGCAATTACTAGCAAGCCATCTGTGGGTACTTGAAGTAAATACATATTTTGCTGCCATTCTGTTTCATTTACAATTTGAATTACCGTACATGAGGTGTTAATCGAATGTTGGATCATAATTTTTTGTTGCTTTAAAAAGCACCGATCTGGGTAGAACGCGGAGCAGAATCGCAAGTTCTCATACTTGGTTGGCAGGGTTTTTCCGGAACTGAGACTTCTGGAAATCCGCAGTGGCTTCAAGCGCGAAGCCCACCAACCAAAGACACCATCCAGCGTAATCTAAGTTGTTAATTCTTGCAGGGTGTGTGGTATCAGCTAGATTTACCATGATGGATGGAAGAAGTGTCACTATCACCCATACTCCTGCGAAAAGCCAAATTAGAATTTTGTTTTGAGCAAACTTCAAGACGTGAGCCTGTTACTGTACCTTGAAGGAACCAGAACACAAAGAACTTGGGTGGATTGTCGCGAACCCCGTTGAACCTTCTGTCATGACCATCGGTGTTGATCCTTGCGAACAGATACGACCCTAACCTGCAATTAGTCACGGGATGTCGGATTCACTGACTTTCAAATACAGTATTTAAAAGCAGTATTTTTGGTTGTTACCTGAGAGCCCAAATGAGAACCAAAACGGTTTGAACGAGTTGACGCGACTGCGGTGTCCGATTGGATAGGAAACTAAGAACGATGAGTGTGATGAACGTGAGAGAACCTATAGAATATTATTTTTGTAAGACTCGTGATAATTCTCGAATGAATCACGAAAATATTCACCGGTCAGGTCGTAGAATTTCTCAGTTCTATTCCAAGCCGAGTGTATCCACATTAGCCCTTGAATCCCGAAGTCTATGTAAAACAGGTTTTTCAACGGATTTTCCTTGTAAGAATCCATGATTTTCAACACTAGTCTGCAACACAAGCAAATTCAATCGATTGAATCCATATTGGCGCTTCATGTGTTTTCCACTTTTCCGCGTGAAGGGGAAGCCGTGCAGCCAGCTCGCGTGTGTATACCAGAGGGTGCGGTGAATTCAGAATATAGGTGTATTGTATGCAAGTACACGGTTGTCGACAGGTGTCGTGTCATGTACAGTATTGTTTGTATCATAGAACACCGCTACCTTCTGTTTAATGTGCTGTATTGTTTTGTGCTTCGCAGGATGTTGAATTTTGTTCTTGCTGATCGAATTAATCGTTACGTAAGTATTTCCGGTTTTCACGATTAGTTCACCTGAAGGCGTTCTGTGAGGGCGCCGCCATGTTTTCGAGTGCTTGTTTACATTATTATCACAGAGCAGTGTGAATTTCGTTTTACTGCAGTGCCGGCTGAACGTGCCCTATTTTTTCCATTACCCTACATTCTCTATGAAATATTTTATGTTCATGAGCCAGATAATTCAAGATGTACTCAAATGTTGCTTATCGGTATCTCTTTTTTATTCAACAGGAAGTGTGATTTTGAATTTGTGAGATAATCATGGTACTGCTCACGATTCTGCGAAAGATGAAGCAGAAAGAAAAGGAAGTGCGATTATTGATGCTTGGTCTCGACAACGCAGGAAAAACCACAATCGTGAAAAAGTTCTGCGGGGAAGACACCAGTGAAATTTCTCCCACTTTTGGCTTTAACATCAAGACCCTCGAGTACAAAGGATTTCGTCTTAATATATGGGATGTGGGCGGCCAAAAGTCGCTGCGTTCGTACTGGAGAAATTATTTCGAAACCACTGACGGACTGATATGGGTGGTCGACACGGCCGACATTCGCAGACTCGGTGATTGCAAAGCCGAATTGCATCAGCTTCTGGAAGAAGAGAGACTTTGCGGTGCGACTTTACTGGTTTTAGCAAATAAAAACGATCTGCCAGGGTCTGTGTCGCCGGAGGAAATTCGGAATGCGCTGGATCTGGATTCGATCGTGACGCATCATTGGAAAATTTTGCCTTGTTGCGCCATCACTGGTACCAACTTGCTTCAGGGTGTTGACTGGCTTTTGGACGATATTGCATCGCGCATTTTTACACTTGAGTGAGCGACCTTGTTTTGCGATCTGAACCTGGGCTGTGATACGTATGAATGTTCTGGTTTCGTCGTGCAGCGTTGAAATTTCACTTCGAGCAGCCTCTAGCGAAGTTTTTGTATGGTTGAAAATCTGCGTATTCTCAACTCTTGAGCTCACGCACTTCTAAACTAGTACTGTACACAGCCTCCTGACAGGCATTTAAAATGAATGCGCATGATGATGCTGCTGTTTGCTTGCGTGCCGAAACTTTGTTGATCTTTTCAAAATAAATTTTCATGAACTAGAGCGTTTTATTATATATAATTTTTCGCCTCAAACTCTATCATTCCCATTTTTGTGATTTCTTGATTATTATTTTTTTTATCTCAGGTTGTACTACTTTCCGAACGTATCTGTATGTGTGATGTGCTAAATATTTCGGACTCAGTTGCTGCGAGTGGCATCAAATATCGAGGAAACTCGCAGTTGAGGGTGAGTTCTGTAATACAAGTACAAGTATGAGATAACTTCTTACCTTGCAAATTTAACCATCTCCAATCATGCAATTTTTAAATATGTCTAGAAAAATGAACAGGATGCCCAGGTGTGGCTGGGCACCCCCAGCTTGTTATATATAATTTTTCGCCTCAAACTCTATCATTCCCATTTTTGTTATTTCTTGATTATTATTAAAAAAATAGAGTCCAACATGATGAAAGGCTTGCATAGACATACACACTACACGATTTATAAAGCCTGAGTCAACGACGCTCACCGTAGTTTATAGCTCCTTTGAGCGTCAACTCCCACTCAAGACATCATCTTTCGCTATCTTATCTCAAACAGGTACAAGTCCAGGTATCAGACAGAATCCTGTCCAAGCAAAGTTACTATTAAGGAGTCAAGAGTATAAAAACAACAACTCACTTCAAAAACTTTAGACAAAAGCTTCGCTCTTCGAAAACTATCTGGAAATGAGTCTTAACGAATCGTTCAGGAATGTTCAGGCGTGAGTGATTTAGGAAGACTTTGAATCGCTGAAATTATCTGGGCTGGTTCATGAGTTTTGTCTTCAAATAAAAATCGTTTTTGGACGAATTTTGTCACACTTTTCTTGTCACCTCAGTTGTTGAGTTCATGCTGCTAGCGATCTTCTTCTCTACCTGTTCTTTTAAATTTTGAAGTGTCTGTAGGTGCACTCTCTACAACGATATTGTCTACGACGATTTTCTTTGTGTAAAAATTTCTTGTTGGTCCCATAGGGTTCTCTTCCCATTTTATGTGGGTATTCTGCGGCAATTTTTTTTTACGGTTCCTTGAATTTCATATTGAAGGGAGTTCATCTGTAAATTCATCTATTGAAAAGTGTAATCCACTGAAAATTGAGTTCTGGCGAGAACATCTTTTGGTTACCAAGCTTCTGATTTGAAATTTTCCGAACCGCTGGAATTTAATTTAGCTTTCTCTCCCATTTGTTGAAGCTCGTTTTAACTTGAGCTTATCTTAATTTTACGTTCGCATTCGGACTACCAAAAATCTTCCTCAGTTTTTATTCGCGCATGTTTCCCAAGTTTAGGTCATAATGGTTGGGAAGTTTGTCATGTTTTGTTGGGTAATACATCACGAACTCGTAACCCAGGTAAGGTATAAGACTTTTATAAATATACACTACTCACCTCAAATTAAAGAAGTTTCTTATCCCAGTTCAAAGTTGAGTTACGTAAAAAAAGAATAAGTAACGTGGGTGTTTACGAAGTAAAGCAGAGGTATGAACAAGCTTAATTGCGTAAAACCATCGTCCGATTCTGTGCATCACAATAGCAGGAGACACAAGACAAAACTTAAGGACCAACCCTCTCATGTTCTTGTTTAACATAAGTAGTCCAAGGATTGACGTTTAAATATAATTGGCACTGCGAATTAATTCGGGAACATTATTTTGAATTTTTATTTCTATCAATCTTTCCTTCAATTTAGAGAAGTTGGGAAGGCGTTGGACAAGATCAGGAAACTTCATGCATTGTACTTGTCTCAACTGAGAGCACCTGCGCATGTGGTTAGTCAGAAAGACGTCGAATGGACCGTCAATGAACTCAGAACCTCGCTGCGATCCGTTGAGTGGGATCTCGAGGATCTTGATGAAACTTTGAATATCCTTTTCATCCTCTGAAACGGAACCTTTCGAAATGTTAGCTAACCTTTTGAGGAGCGACGTGGCATTCTCTACCTTTTAGCTGTTCTGTCGCTGTATTTAAAACAAAAAGTATAAAAAAAAAAAAAACTATACGAGTATATACCCTTGAAAAATTGGTTGAACGATTTGCGCGTCATAAAATGTTCAGTTAAATCTATGAGACATGCTCTATCCTGCTTCAGTCGTCTAGAAAATGACGCAGACGATGGATTGTACGTGTGTATTGAGAAAGAAACAAATCTAAGAAAGTACTCATAAGTACGGTAACATGAACGGAAGGCTGACATCTTATGCGTCGGTTCCGCGGAATCTTCTGTCGGTCCAGGTTTTTCATCCTCAAGGTTGGAACCAGAGACTTCCTAGCAGGTCCGTACTTTTATTTTATTTGCTATAAAAATCTCGTGTATCTATGTTCAAATAAATACCACCTTGAAAATTTGCATTTGCGAGAGCAGGGTTCTTAACTTGAGGGCTGTGAAGTTCTTTCCTTTCGGTTAGAACGTCATATGTCGGTCATTTTAAGAAGGGCTCTTGGAAGAGTTGCACGTTTGAAAAAAAAACCGAATCAGAGTTGGAAATGGTTCGGATAAAAACGACAATCAAACAATTTCGAATTTCAATGTGAAGCGTATTTGTGAATTGGGTTTAATCGTGTAAACGTGTGTGTTCTTGAACAATTTTTCTTCGGGTTTTGGGTCTTGGTACCCGGGATATGATACGCAAACGCTGCCATGTCTTGAAAATCCGACTCACAAGACGAAATTGTTTCACTTGACGAATATATGGGGCCAACAAAATTCAAATTTTAGCAAGTTTTGAGCTTAAGCCTGATAATTTAAGAAAAATCCAAGAAAGTGCAAATAGGCAAGCATAGCTTTCCCGCTTCTTATCTTTTAAATTCACAACAGATGGAAAGTTGAGTGCACAAGCTAGCCAGGGGTATTTAAATATAATACTGTACTGTACTAATCAATTTTAGGTTGATATTTTTGTGCTGAAAACGACGAAAAAAGGCAACATTTTACAGGCTCATTGTGTTACTGTATTTACTCGAGTACCATTCGCCCTCGAATAAGGCGCGCACTTGGAAATTTTGCTAAAATCTTAACCCCAAGTAAGACGTGGACCCAAATTTTTTGTGACTCTAAGTCTAAAACCACAAAATTTCGAAAGTAAAAACAAAAAATTTGACTGTAGGCATGAATTGAACATAAATCTGATCAATTTTCATCTTTTTCAGTTAAAAAATGTTTTGTTAAATTTGTTCCAAATTTCTCCATCATAATGAAGTATAATAAACACATAACTTCCTAAAACTTCTTGAAAAATGTTTACCCGCTTTTGACGCGCACCATTTTTTCAGGGCTGGAATAACGTCGCCAGGACTAACCTCGTCAAGCCGGAATAATGTCGTAGAGATTTAATTTCATCAGGAATATCATTGTCAGGAATAACCTGAATAACCTCGTATTTTTCGAATTTTTTTTGTTGCTGAAATGGAATAAAATTGTCAACATTTTCTTTTTCCTAAAATTGGAACAACCTCGTATGGCAGAAACTGGACTTTCCTTGTAATGAGGAATATGGAATAACCTTGTCCTATGTAGACTGGCCCTTCCTCGTACATCTGGTACAAGCAAGGACTTGGAATTTTAAAAACTTGAATTTCCAAGGTAACAGCTCACTTTTTGACTTTTCACTTTTTTATTCACTTGAAAATTGAATAAAATATCCATGAGTAAAGTTAATCTTTAGACCAGAAAAATATGTATTTATTGTTTTAAGAAATTTTGTTTAAAGAATATTTTATCATGAAATTTTTTCATACAATTCTTTTTTTATCTTGACGAGATAATTCCATTTTTATCTTGACGACAATACTCCAGTTCAGGCATACGAGGTTGTTCCAGTTCTTAAGAAATGACATTTTTCCTTTACCAGTTTACCAGTTTCATCTGGTTTTTTCCAAACGATTATTTTTTTGACGACTTTCAGGATTTTTTGGCAGTACCACGTTAGGCCAGTTATGCAGAAAGGGAAAATTTTTTTTCACGATATTATTCCTGCAGAGGCTGGACGACGATAATCGGGTTTGGAAATTACGACGTAATTCCACCACCCCATTTTTTCTTCTGAAATTTTAGAAAAAAGGTGCACAGGGTACTTGAGTAAATACGGTATTTTTTGAGTGTCTGGAATGAATTGAATGCATTGTTTAGGTATTCTTGATGAAAAAACACGTTTCACGTTACAAAAATTCCGCACGTGAAATGCGTCGAGCAACTGATCATTTTCGTTGGACTGTATATCGTGTGGAACTGCAAACCGGGTGCGTTCAGTTTAGTAGGCTCTCGTTTTTACTGAAGGGAAAATCATTCAGGAGCTAGGCGTGTTCCGGAAGTCTTTCTCATCAAAGTATCGCGAGAACGAAAAAAAAAGAACTGGGTTTATGGGCGTAACTAGAATCGCCAGTGTGCGCCATTGCTCAAGGGCAAGAAGAACCGTTAGGCGGCTCTCGGGATTGCGTTGGGCTTTCGATAGACGCGGACCCGTTTGCCCGTACCCTGTGAGACCCGTTGCTCGAAATTGCGGAGTGACACTGCGATGTCTCTCCGTTTCAACGCCCGTGGCGATAATGAAGACTCTCAAAGAAAAAAGTACATTAATTTCCACTTCTCGAACGTTTAATTTTTTGTTTGCTGCCATCAGAGCTCTCCATTGAACAAAACCTGAACTTCTTTTTCTATTGTAGGTGCTTCGTTACGCTGTAGTTATTTTTTGTCTTTATTAGCGTCTACATTTCTTTTGGATGATTTCTCGGGTAACCTCAGCTGAGAGCTCGCTTTTATTTGCCGTCGATTATCCAATTATTTACTCATTCGGCTACGAAGTCGAATGCGATCCACGTGTTTTTATCTTCAGTTTTTTGAGAACCTTCTCGAAGTAGTCGACTTCGTTTATCATCGATGACCTCGATTGCCTGATTTCGGAATGAAATCGTTTTCAGGACAATCGAGGGAAGTTAATTATGATCGCGAAGGATTATTCCCCCGGGGGTTGCGTCCTGAATACAAAGTATAGGGAGCAGCTGGCTCAGATGTGGATCATGGGATGAAAAATGACGGCCGCTCCTTGCACTTGGTGCCGCCGCCGCCGCGTTTTTCGTTTGGGACGGTTTTGACGAGCCGTCATTTCGCTAAGCGACAGGTCTTCAGTTAGTCTGTAATTAAACTGACGTGGTGGTGTTCATTTATTCCATCCGCATAATTTAGTGTGATGCTCAATTAAAGAACTACGGGCAGAAAGTGTCTGAAGAGTTGCTGCGCTGTGGAAGGATACATTTTCACGTGTGTTCCAAGCCAGGGGGAAAACATGTGCGAAAGTCTTTCAAATTTTTGCTGACTATGTTCAGGCTTTTTTTTTTTTTTTGTGGATGGCTTGTACAGGTGGACTCCCATCTACAACGAAGTTCAAGGGGCCAGAAAAAAATTCGTCGTGGAGAGAATTACGTTAGAGAATATGTATAACTCGGGGNGCCGTCGATTATCCAATTATTTACTCATTCGGCTACGAAGTCGAATGCAATCCACGTGTTTTTATCTTCAGTTTTTTGAGAACCTTCTCGAAGTAGTCGACTTCGTTTATCATCGATGACCTCGATTGCCTGATTTCGGAATGAAATCGTTTTCAGGACAATCGAGGGAAGTTAATTATGATCGCGAAGGATTATTCCCCCGGGGGTTGCGTCCTGAATAAAAAGTATAGGGAGCAGCTGGCTCAGATGTGGATCATGGGATGAAAAATGACGGCCGCTCCTTGCACTTGGTGCCGCCGCCGCGTTTTTCGTTCGGGACGGTTTTGACGAGCCGTCATTTCGCTAAGCGACAGGTCTTCAGTTAGTCTGTAATTAAACTGACGTGGTGGTGTTCATTTATTCCATCCGTATAATGTAGTGTGATGCTCAATTAAAGAACTACGGGCAGAAAGTGTCTGAAGAGTTGCTGCGCTGTGGAAGGATACATTTTCACGTGTTTTCCAAGCAAGGGGGAAAAAATGTGCGAAAGTCTTTCAAATTTTTGCTGACTATGTTCAGGCAATTTTTGTTGTTGATGATGGCTTGTACAGGTGGACTCCCTACAACGAAGTTCAAGGGGCCAGAAAAAAATTCGTCATAGAGAAAATTTCGTTAGAGAATACTGTATATATTCCTCGAAGAAAAAACCCTATGAAACCTTATAAAAAAAACGTTGTGAACAAGGTTTGTCATAGACATAGAGAGTCCTCCTGTATTTTGAAAAACGAAGAGAGCGGTCTACATTATACATACGGTACGTTAGTGAGAGATCAATGCTCATGTACACTCATGAAGTAAATTTAACTTGGGGTGACTTGGTATCGAACAGATTACAATCAATGGTGCCCAACTCAGAAGTGACCATGGGCCACATTGGAAAACTGGAGAACTATGCGGGCCAGCACCATGGAAGAAGCCCTTGAGTTTTCATTAATTTCAAGTAACTGACTCGTTTGCATTTGAAATGCGGCATTCAATTATGCCCTTGAAAAATTGGCATTTTCGGTTGTCATGAGATTGATGAATTTTTGGTTTCACCAAATTTATTTGGTAGGAAACTGTCCAGTAGCTTTACTCTTGTGCTCACACATTTTTTCACAATGCTGTTTTCCTACTGCACCCAATGGGTTTCTTGTATAAATATCTTACTGTACAATACTGTAAAATTTCCTGTGCCGAGTACAGTACATCAGTTATTTTTAAGATTAAAATGAGAAAAGTGCTTCAGCACTGAAAGAATAAAACAAAAATGCCGGAGAATTTTCTTCAAAAATAGCTTATGGAATCATTCATGGAACACATCCTCTCCTTCATACTTACATCTGATTTTTAAAAACCTTCCCATAAGTTTTTCTTCAGTTTCTGACGCACAGGCACATATAAATGCTTCAGCTAAAAAAAT